CAGGACAATTCCCTTCGGGATAGGGAAATTGTCAGCCCACAGGTTGTGGCTGGGGTCTTTATGGAGGGCAGTGCTTCAGGAGATGCAGAAGGTAGGAACATACTTTTTTTAATGTTAGGCAGGAGAGCAGGAGCCCAGGGTTTATCAGAACAGCTTCTGTTAAAACCGCCCCCTTCCGTCCCCTTCCCCACTTCCCTCCCCTTCCATCAGGCAGGATCTGGGTCAAAAGGTGTCTGTTTACCCTTTAAAATTATTAAAGGGGAAGCATGCTATGCTGAAGCAACTCCTTGCAGTAATCCAGTCTCTGGTCAAAAGGTGCAGTCTGTTTATCTTGTCTTCAAAGACCAGGGTGCTCACTAACTCAGTTCCTGCATTCTCAGGGGCTTGCAAAACCATGAGGCCCTGCTGTGGAGGGGCCTGCTGCAGATCCGAACCCTAACAGTCATCACTCCAATTGCAAGCGAGCCCACCAGAAGAGAAGAGGTTCAAGGCAAAGTACACATCCCAGAAACTGCACTTACTCACAGTATGGTCAGCCTGGATCTTAGGGCTACCTCTGCTTCTTGAGGAAGCTAAAAGCCTTTATTCCAATGTGCCCAATTAGAAACTTAAAGTAAAAAATTAAAACAAGAGACTGGAGAGATGACTCAGCAGTTATGAACACTGGCTGCTCTTGCAGAAGACCTGGGTTCAAATCCCAGCACCCATATGGCAGCTAGCAACCATCTGTAACTCCAGTTCCGGAGGATTGGATGCCCTTCTGTCCACCAAAGGCACTGCACAACATTGGTGCACTTACACACACACAGGTGTAACACTCATATACATAAAATAATAAATAAAATTTTAAAAGTAAAACAAATAGAGAAGCTGGGCATGGTAGTACACATCTGTAGTTCTAGTATTTAAAGGACTGAGGTGGGAGGATCCCAAGTTCAATACCAGCCTGGGCTACATAGTGAGTCCCTGACTCAATAATAGTAATAGTAATAATAATAATCATAATAATAATAGGTGATCACATATTGAGGGACAACAAATGGCCTATTTCAGAAGAGTATATAATCATTCAAGTTAAAATCAAGGCAGCTTTGGCAGTTGGGCATAATGGTCTAATAAGAAGTTCTGCTGATGAAGCTGACCTCATTCCACACATTCACCTCGTCTCCTACCATGGAGGAAGATTTGTTATTATTACTGCCATTATTGTGGTAGGTAGCAGTAGAAAGTGTGATATATAAAAAAGTAATCTCAGCACTCAGTAGGCTTGAGGCAGGAGGACTACCATGAGTTCCAGACCAACTTGGACTACAGTATGAGACCCTGTCTCAAAAACTGAAAGGAAGGAAAGGAGGGAAGAAGGGAGGGAAAAAGAGAGGAGAGAAAAAGTAAAGAAGGAAGGGAGGGAGGGGAAAAGAGGGAGGGAAAAGAGGGAGAGAAGGAAGGAAGGAAGGAAGGAAGGAAGGAAGGAAGGAAGGAAGGAAGGAAGGAAGGAAGGAAGGAAAGGAGGGAGGGAGGGAGAGAGGGAGGGAGGGAGGAAGACGCTCTTTCCCTTGCCATCCCTTCACACCGGAGCCCCTTCTTGGAACATTAGTACTCGGGAGACATGAGACAGCACTCTGCTCTAAGGGGAAGCAAAACCATTCTTTACAGATACACATGGTAATTCTGGGGGCTTCCCAAGGCTGCTGGGTTTATTTCTCCTCTGAGTTATGCTGAAAACCCCAGACCCTGAAGAAGAAGCTGGCTGGTGCTGCCTTCAGCGTGTGGTTTATTTTCAAGCCTCTCATCTCAGGCTTGTCAGCAGATGAGAGGCCATCTTGAATGGCACCAGTAATTACTGGAACTATCCAGGCCCACAGTGAGTGCCAGTTGCCATGACACTGCTTTAAATTGTTCCTGCACTGACACATCTTGTCACACTGTCACATGCTGCTCCCATGCACAGAGACCACATTTATCTTGTCCTCCTGTTTGCTGACTGATGCTTAAGCTCTGCACCAGAAATAGAGCTCTGTCACCCAGGGAGCAAATCCATGTGGGTGCCACAGCCTGCCTTCTTCATCTATAAGGTACAGGGATTGGAAACGCCTGTCCTAGGAAACAAGCGACCCAAGCTCTACTCACAGTTCTCCACTGTGTGCTTTGGGCAAAGGCTTTAATCTTTCTGTGCCTTGGACTCCTCACCTGTACCATGAAAAAGATGGAATGAATGTCTCCCTGGTCCCTTCCTGTTGTAAGCACTCTGATCACTTAGTTCCCTTTCCCAGCAGCTGAGGCTCAGCTGAACTGCAACATCAAAGCCCAAGTGAGGCAATTCCTGTAAGCCCTTGCATGGCCCTCCCAGGCTGACTGTTTCTGAAACTCCCCTCTAGCACCTGGGGGCTGGAAGGGATTTGTTTTGAGTTAATTCCCTGGCAAGATGCCACTTGCCTTGCAAGAGGTCCCCTCTGATGTGCTTGGGGGACTTGTGTTCAGCTCAGGTTGAGTCACTGTTTACTTTAGAAATGCTCTGTTCTTGGCATAGTCCCAGATACCATGCTCATAGCTTTAGTCTCAAAGTTAGCTCTCCATCTGAAGAAAGCAAGTTCTACATTTAGAGAAAGACATACATGCAAAGCTGGCCTCCAGACCTGTTTTCTAGAGTAGCATCTCATGGGACTGAGAAGTAGGAGAAAGCAACTCCCATACCTGTCTAACCAGCATGCAGCTGGTATCTCTCACTGGCCGGAATACAAATAAGGTCACCTTTCCATTTCTGCTTCTGTTGCTCAGACCCCTAGCACCCACATGCTGGCTGCAGGAACTGGGCTCCCACCTTCAAATTCTCCTTTTCACCCTATATCAGTATTTCTAGGCATCTTCAATTGGGATGTCATGCATATCCACAAAACATGCCCTGGAAACACCAGTGACAAGGACATTAGGGTGTTATGGCATAACCAGATGCACAAGTCATAGGGAAACAAAATCTTGGGCCTCAATAACAATATCTTTGTTAATTAAATTGTTTGTTTCAGCAGTCTGTCGTGTTCCAGGTTGGCCTTGAATTCACTGTGCAGTCAAGGATTCTTTTGCCTCCACCTCTTGGATACTGGGATTACAGATATATACCACCAACCCAGTTTTATGCTGTGCTGGGAATGGAACCCAGGGCTTGCTAGGCATCCTAGGCAAAAACTCTACCAGCTAAGCCACATCCCCAGCCCCTATTGCTTGGTTGTTTGAGACAGGGGGTCATGTAGCCCAGACTAGCCTCAAACTCCTGATCCTCCTGACTCTGCATAACTCCCATTCAATAGAAAAGATAACCCCAAAGAGTTCTAGTTTAATTTCTATTGCTGTGATAAAACACTGACCAAAAACTACTTGGGTAGGAAAAGGTATATTGCATCTTACACTTCCAAGTGGTAGTCCCTCTTTGAGCGATGTCAGGCCAGGAACTCAGGGCAGGAAACTGGAGGCAAGAACTTGGAGTACAGACTATGAAGGAATGCTGTTTACTGGCTTGCTCCTCTGGTCTGTGCTCAGCTTGCTTTCTTATGCAACCTAGGACCACCTACCCAAAGGTGGTACCACCCACAGTGCGCTGGGCCCTCCCAAATTAATCAACAATCAAGAAAATGCCTCACAGACATGGCCAAAGTCCAATCCAATAGAGTAAATTTCCCAGTCAAGGTTCTCCCTCTTCCCAGATGTGTCAAGTTGACAACCAAAGCCAACCATAACAACTGCCCTCCAGGGAAGACACCAGATTTACCTCTAACAGGGTCAATTTATTTCAGGATGCCTTCCCTAGCTCTGAAGCAGGCAAGCTTAAGGAATACCTTAGCAACTTGGGACTCCACTTGGCTTGGGCTATACACATACCCCTCTTTGAACAAAGCACCTAACAGCATGTTAGCAACCAAGAAACCCCAAATGCATTGAGCTTCATGTATAGCTGCTTTAAACAGAAACATGTCATTTCCTTAGTAACCCTTGACATGAACAATTCCTATTCAAATGCATCCTGGAACACAATCTGGGAACTACAAAAATGGGTTGATATGGCCTAGACTGGTTTTGATGCGTATGCAATAAGGCAAACTTGTGTCTTCAAAGTGAACTTTTAGGGATACTCCCCTATTTATGACTTTATGGCTACACATAATTTGGGCATGTATATGATTAAAATCAGCTGCATTATGGGAAGGAGCATGCATAGCAGAGAAATGGTTATATAATCTGTCAATCAAAAGAGAGACACAGCCAAACTATGTCCCTTAGCAATCAAATTCCTCCTTCTTTCTCTTGAACCCCATAAAAGTAACCCTCAAAAAGTAATGAAGCCCTTGAATATTTTCATTCATGTGTCCTGTCAATCTTGACAGTATATTACTTTTTCCCCCTTTTTTCTTAATTTAATTTGTCATATATAAGATTTTTATATATAATCAGTGGCTTTGTGACAGTTTATATTAAAATATTTCATTTATTTTTTTGTAAATTTTTTGGCGGTTTTTTCAAAGGTTTTTTTTTTAGATTTTTTTGGGGGGGATTTTTTAATAATCGGGTTGGTCTTAGCTGCTTCACTGGGTTATTTTATAAAAGAGGAAGAAAAAAAAAAGTCTCCAGCAGGGGAGACATGGATTTATTGTAAATTTTTGGGGGGTGTTTTATTTATTATTTTTATGTATATGAGTATATTGCCTGCATATATAAGGGCACCCATGTCATGCAATGCCTGTGGAGATCGGAGGCCCCTGGAACTGGAGTTACAGATGGTTGTCTGCTGCCATGTGGGTGTTGGGAATCCAGCCTGGGTCCTCTTCAAGAGCAGTCAGTGCTCCTAACCACTGAGCCATCTCTCCAGCACCATAACCGTTTATATTAAAAGTCAGTCAAGTTCATCTAAAATGCTAACCTAGTTATATAGCACATTTGACATTATTGCCCACATGAAAAGGGAAAACAAATGAATTTACAATAACTTTTGGCCATTTTGGATTCTGAAAGTGTTCAAAATGGAATGGTTCAGGAGTTGCATGTTATCCTTATGCACGGGCCATGCTAATCTTCTCTATATTGTTAAATTTTTACTATATGTGCTGCCAACACCAGCATGACTGTATACTTCTGATCTGTACTATCTGTGTGGGCTTTAATTTTATTCTTGAGTAAGAGGCCAAAACCTGACACATCCAGCCCAGAATCTGGCCTCCAGTAACAACTCTATACAGACTCCTGTTCCTTGAATTCTCCTCAGACCAACTTTATTATCCTGATGATTCCTTTTATGAAGTGTGTTAAATAAATCTGTGGCACATAGTTATCATATATTTCATGATAACTATGTTTTTAAATATTTTTATTTATTATTTTTATTTTATGTGTATGAGTATATTGCCTGCATGTATTTAAGTGCACCCATGTCATGCAATGCCCTCCGAGGTCAGAAGAGGATGTCAGATCCCCTGGAATTGGAGTTAAGGACAGTTGTTAGCTGCCATGTGGGTGCTGGGATTCAAACATGGGTGCTCTAGACGAGCAGCCAGTGCTCTTAACCGCTGAGCCATGTCTCCAACCCCAATAACTATGTTTTCACCTCTTGGAAAATTATCCCTTTCCATTTATTTAATAAATAATACTGAGCAACTGTTATAACTGCTTTAATCCACCCAAACTGCTGTAACAAAATACCATAGACTGTGCTGGTTAAACAGCAATAGAAATTTCTTTGTCACAGTTCTGGAGGCTGGGAGACATTAAGCAGAACCTGCTTCCTGGTTGCTTCACAAGCTAGAAGGGGCAAAGGCGCTCCCTGGGCCTTCTCTTCCAAGGAAACTAATCCCATTCATGAGGGCCACACTCTCATAGTCTAATTATCTCCCTCAAGCCCCCAGTTCTCAATGTTGTCATACTGGGGGCTAGCATTTCAACACCTCAGTGGCAGTGTGGGGTACAATCTAGTCTGTAGCAATAGGCAAGGCACTGTGTATGGGCAGATGATGCAACACAGGGTATCTGCCCTAATGGCAGAGGGAGCAAAGATTGTAAGTAAACAAATTCTAGACGATGATTAGAGCAGTGTTACTATGACAGAAATTAATAGGCAAAGGCCTCTCTGAGCAGGTGGCTGTAAGCATCCAGGAACTAAAAGGCCAGGGTGATGAGGGTAGAACCGACCAAAAGAAAGATAGTGTAGATAAGGTCCAAGTGGTAGTGTAGAACTTGAAATTTAATGTCAAGAATCATCACTTACTTAGAACTAAGGAAAACAGAAGCTGTGTGACACAATATCTTAATTATTTTAATATTCAAATCATTGGCTTTCTTTTACTTTCCTTAAAATTAACATCTTACAGATCATGATACATCTCTCTAAAACTAGAAGAAAAAAAAAAAAGAGGGCTGGAGAGATGATGCAGCAGTTAAGAGTACTTGCTGGTCTTCCAGAGAACCCAGTTCAGTTCCCAGCACCCATGTTAGGGGGTTCACAACTGGCTTTAGCTCCAGTTCCAGGGGATCTGACACCCTCTCTGGGCTCTGGTGTAACTCCACTCATGTGCACAGAGACACACACATACACACACATAAATAAGTAAATAAATAAAAATAAATCTAAACAAATATATAATTGGGGCCAGTGAGATGACTCAGCTAGAAAAGGCACTTGCCACCAAGGCTGATGATCTAAGTTTGATCCCCAGAACCCTCATTGTGGAAAAAGAGAACCAACTCCAGAAAGGTGAACTCTGACATCTACATGCACACCATGGCACCCACACAATATGCACATATAAACAAACGAGTGTAATCTTTACAATAAAATAAAAGCTGACCATAGTGCAACCGTATTAACTACTACCCTCAGGTTACTCAGACTTCTCCATTTTCCACTGTGTTGTTTTCCTTTCCCGTACATGCCCCAGCATCCCACACTGTCCCCTCCTTCTCTGTTCCAACTCTCCTGATTTTTTCTTTACTGTGACACTTGTTTTTTCTTGAGACAGGGTCTCCCTGTAGCCCCAGCTGGCCTGGAACTCACTATGTAGACCAGGCTGGGCTTGAACTCACAGAAATCCTCCTGCCAAAGCCTCCCAAGTGCTGGGATTTAAAGGCGTGCATCACTATGCCCGGCCCAACTGTGACATTCTTAAACAGTGACAGTATTTTGTACAAAATCATTTAATCTAAATTTGTCTAATGTTTTCTTTTCAACATTTTATTCATTACTTTTTATTTTAAGTGCATGAGTGCATTGTTTGCCTGTACGTAAATGCGCCCATGTTGTACAGTGCTCTCGGAGGTCACGAAGAGAGCATCAGATTCCCTGGAACTGGAGTGAGGATTGTTGTTAACCACTATATGGGTGCTGGGAATTGAACCTGGGTCCTCTGCAAGAGTAGTCAGTGCTCTTAACTGCTGATCCCTGTCTAATGTTTTCTCATTATTAAAGTGAAGTTATGGATGGGGGGGGCAACAGAGGTTCTCTCTCTTTCTCTCCAACTTTGTCTTTAACAAAGATACAAATTAAGACTTGGCTGAGGCTGAGAAGTGCTTGTGACAATCGGAGGAGGATTTTGTGATATTCCGCAGAGAAAGGGAAGGTTTGTGGACCTGAGGTAGGGGAGAAGAGGTTTTTTTATGCTATTCTGAAGAGAAGGGGAGATGGGATTGTGAGTGAGCAGTCCAAGAGCCTGGCTTCAGCAAAAGATGCTGATAGCGTGTATCAAGTGGTACACAGTGTCCAGCAAAATTGTAATGAGATCAGCTCAGATTTGCTGATACTTCAACTTTTTCTCTGACAGAATAAGTACCATGAAGCTCTGTTGTGGGGCTGGTTTTCAGTAGTGGACATATGTATGATCATTCATAATTATATCTGAATTTATTCCAAGGCTGACAGGAAGCAAATACAGGATTTTAGGCTAAAGACCGGTAGTCCAAGCTGAAGAAACACATTAAAGACTATGGAACTGGGTGTGGTGGCCACTTGCTGTCATCCCATCCTCTCAGAAAGCTGAGGCAGAAGCATCATTTAAGCCCAGAAGTTCAAAGTTAGCTTGGGGAACATAATGAGACTCTCTTTAAA